TATTAGAATTTTTTATAAAACTCTAAAATCATTATATTATAATAGTAATAGCAGTAATAATAATGATCAACTAGACCCCAATAATATAGAGAAATTAGTTTATATATTTTTTAATAATTTTAAAGAAATAATAAATAAAAAAGAAAGTATATTCAATAATTATTATTTTTATTGCATTATTCATAAATTTATTAAATTAACAAATATAATAAAAAATCAAAATAATAGCAATTTCATTGATGAAATAATAGAAATTTTAAATAATAACAATGAATCTATAAGTAGTTTATTAGTAAAATCATTAAGTTTAGAACTAGATAATAATAGTACCAAAAATTTCACAGACAATAATTTTTCATCTTATTCAGTATTAAATAAAAATTTAAAATTAATTTTATCAGTTTTAAAATATTATAATAATGGTGGATATAGAAATGAAAATATTTATAAATTTATCAAAAACTATATAATTTTGTGTAATAATAATCAAATAATTAAAAAAATTTTAAATTTTGATATAAATTCACAAATACTAAATAATTTAGATATTCCATCATTGTTTGTTAAATCTAAAACAGGCCAGTCAATAATCATTTGTAAAATATATATAATAGTATTAGAAATAATAAAATTCATACTCTTAAATTATAATAATAATAGTTTATCAAGTATATTTAGTATCCAAAATAATAACAATAGTGATAATAATAATAATAATAATAATAAATTTAATGATAGTAATGAAATAATTTATAAATTTGGATATTTATTCATTAATCAAGACGACATTGCAATTGAAACTATAAACTCCTTATTAACAGTTTACAATGAAGTTTCAAATATAAAAGATAATAGCAATAGCGATGGCAATATCGATAGTAATAACAATTACAAAATCATTAATAACAATTTAATATTATTAAAAAATTTATTTGTAAATAGTTTTAATCCTCACAATATATTTTGTTTTTTTATAAAAGAAATATGTTTTTACGATCATTTAATAATTATAGATATGTTGATATCTAATGAAACCACATTTCTTAATTATTTTTTAAATTATCTCAAATTAACATCAACATTATCAACAGCAGATATATTTAGTCACAGAGAAGATAAAGAGGAGTTTATTAGTTGCTTGAGCCTACTATATAACTCAATAGAGACTTCAAACAATAATAATATTTTCCCATATAACCCTAAAATATTACTATTAAAATTAGAAATGTATTTAAATAAATTAAAAACAATTAATAAACAAAAATAATAAATAATCGTTCAATTTCAGTTTACCGCCATTACCAAAACAATAGTAAAAAAATCGATCAAGTTTTTCTTTCAAGTAATAAAAAGTTCATCTTGTCCTAGTTATTAAAACCAAAATAAATTATTTTATTATTTTACCCAATTTTTTAATTTTTTTTGGTGTTTCCTTTATTTTACTTGAAAAACTTTAAAATAAATATTTTTTTGAAAAACTTTTTTCATAATATCTTTTTTTAATTTAAAATTTTTATTTTTTTATTTTCTTTTTTAAATTTTTTTCTTAATTACTTTTTTTATAAAAAATAAATTATATTAATAAACATAGTCATAATAATGGATGAAGCAATGCAACCAAATTTACCAGTATATCTCCAAAAATATATATTAAATCTTTTATGCACCCATATCCATTACTACAGTAAATCTATAGACCCTTTAACAGTTGGTTATACATACAGAGACAAAGAAAATGAAATTAAAAGTTATATGATCAATGTTGGATTGGTATCAAAGTTATTTTTTAAAATAATTTCAGGAACACATGTTTGTATTGATCTTAATCATTTAAATTTAGATTCCTTTAATAAATATAAAATTAAAAAAATAAATAATAATAATAATAATAGTAGCAAAATAATAAAGATAGAGAATATTGAAGTCTTAAAGTTACATTATGACCAAACAATGAAAAGTTTTTACAGAAAAACATTTAAGCATGGAAGAGTTTTAGATATCAGTATACCAATAGAAACAATAAATGAGCAAATAAAGCAAATGAAATCGCTTAAAAAGATAGTTTTAAGAAATGTAAATACAATTAAGCATACATTGAAATTCCTTGATGAATTAGTTATACCTCCAGAATTAAATATCGAGCAAATTAAAGTTTTAGAATTTAGAATTTCACAAAAAACAACAAAAGCCATAGTAGAGAATCTTTATTTTAAGGTAAAGAAATTACATACAATAGTTTTAGAGGAGTATGAGGAAGAGGAATTATTGTTTCAAATTTTCAAATATTGGTTTCATTCAATCAAGCAATTTTTTAAAATTTCAGATTGTTCATTTCCAATCATCAAATTTTCGGGTAATATATTAAGTGGTGAAGAAATAATTGAAAATAGAAATCCAAGTGGCATTGAAAGAGGTAACAGTATCAACTATTTGCAAAATATAGTATATTATCATTTTCAAGATTCAGGTATTTCACTAAAGGAATTGTATTGTATTTTAAAGGCATCACCTAATTTACAGTTTTTATCAATTCAAATTTGCCTTGAAAGATTAGATTATTTATTTTCCGGTCAAATTGATAGAGATAGGTTAAAGTGTAAATGCAGATCTATATTTTACGACAATGATCAAGCAACTATTGAAGTTTATATGGATGAAAGAGGTATCTCAGCAAATCAAGAGGATGTCATCCAAGAATACCACCGAAATACAGTTGAGGAGGCACTTCATTTTTGGAAATTAATAAAGAAATTAGATAATTTTTCAAAATTAAAGATGGTAGGAATTAGCCATTCGTGCACGTTAGTAAATAGTGAGCAGCCCGGACCTGTACACAAAAGTTTCAATGAAATAACATCGTTATTATGCTCACCAAAATTTAAAAATGTTCAAGAGTTAGAACTATCGTTAAAAGAATATAACCCGGTACCATTGTTAGAATCTATAGCATCATCCAATCAAATTATACAAGGATTTATTTTATCTTCAGATGTTCCTATTCTAGAAAGTCAAATAAACGAAGTAATAAACAAATCAAACCATATATCTTTTTTGGAAGTAAGAAGATCTTTAAAAACAGTATTCAAATACAAAAAATAAAGGTTTATTTTATAGAATTTAAATGTTTATTTAATTATTAATATTTTTCATTTTTATATTTAAATTGTCTTTGAATAATTTTCCTTTTCTTTTTTGTATTATAAAATAAACAATTGAAATTGTAATGATGGCAGTAAATGCAGCAGCTCCTATAACAATACCAGCAATTTTAACACCACTTAGCTTTGAGTTGGATGGGCATATTGAACCAGATTTAGATGATGCAGAGTCTGAATCGATAAGAACAGAGAAATCTGGGTCTATAAGAGCCAGTTCTCTAAAATAAGGAATTTGAATACCAATGTATGATTGAATTAATTTGCTTTCACCTATTGGTTTCATTTGAGCATCTAGTGGTATGTTTGTAATTGCTCTAATAGTTGAGTCTATTATACCTCTTCTAATAAATCTACCATATAGAGAATGGTTATCAACTTGAATTTTAATGTAGTTTGAGTTATCCCCTGATGTTGTTTCACCAAAATCCCTAAACGAGCAAATATTATCAGTTGAATTTGATTGGATAGAGGCAAACATTACTAACTGTAATTGATTTAATTGACTTTCAAATGGGTAGTTACTAATCTGGACTGTATATTTCATTGAAGAAGGGTTCATTTTTAACTCTTCATTGGCAAATGTAATTGTTGTTTCATTAACAAACCATTTCAATGTTGTTGTAATATCGACGGCAATTGGATTGTTATTATTCTTATTAATTTGGAGTGTTGCATCATAAATGAATGTTGTATTATCCAAATCTTTTACTGTCCATTTTTCGAAAGATTTTTCGAAAATTACATCACCTGTAGCGTTAATTTCTCTTAGTGATATTAGTGATATTAGTGAGCTATATTTTACTGGTATGCCGTTTGTATTATCAGTTGGTATTGTAATTTCAGTTGATGGTGCTGTATTGTTAATAGTTGGGTCTACAATTATGATTTTAGATTGACAGTCATTACCAATCCATGGTGAATAGCATACACATCCCTGATCTTCAATACACTGGCCATGGGTTGGGCCCCCACATACCGGGGAACCTAAACATAGTTGTGGTTTATTTGTTGGTATTGGTGTATCTGTTGGCTTTTCTGGGACTGGAGGTCTATTATTAAAATTATAAACCATTGGAACAATTGTAAATCGATTTGAGTCGGTGGAACCTGAATAAACTTTAACTTTGTATGGATCTTCGGTTGGCTTTACATTCGAAATTTTAAAAACAGTTGGTGAAATTGCTTTTGCAACATTGGTGCTTGTAGATCCATCACCGAATACAATGTGTGCTTGTGGTGCTGTGAAAATATCACTTTGGAAACCTCTACCATAAATAAACAAATCTCCACCCTTTTCAGTTATTGTACAGTAGCCAGTAATTACAGGTTGAGTTGTCTGGAATGTTATATTAACATAATATGGGAAATTTTGAACTGATTTCATTAGGTCAAATGAAGAGTAGCCTGAATAGTACCCATTGTTGTTAATAAACCCATAAACTGAAATTAAAGAAATGTTGGCATAGTTTCCAAAACCAAAAGGTAATTCAACACTACATGAGTATGTAGCCATGAAACTGGTAATTGAATCTATTGATGACACACATTCAATAACGCTATTTTTACTTGTGCTAAGGTATACAATTGGATATTGTTTATCTTTTAGGCCACTTTCTTCATCAATTGCGCTAAATAAAAATGTAATAGTTCTATTTGATTTACTAGTATCTATTATTTGTGAAGATACTGAGAAAGTGTTTAGTTTTGGTGGTGAAATATCTATTATGGTGGGACATTCTAGCAAAACCTTATTGATTGATGAGTCGTTCAAGTAATAAATGAATGGATTTGAAATTGATGTATACATTGCTAAATTTGGTGATTTAATTAAAAAGATCGATGATCTTCCCATTCTATCAAGTAAATAAACTTCCTCGATGAAATAGTTCTGAGTAATACATGGAGAAGAGGCAGTTAAAAAGATGTCGTATTCGCCAATAAAAACAGTGCCTCCTGATTTAACGTTGTTTATAGATATTGAAAAATTATAAATAGATTGATCTAATTCACCTTTAACTGTTATATAACCTGATTTAAATCCATTTACTGGGTCCTCAATTATAATTGACCATCCTAGTTGACCTGATTGGTTACTTTCAGTAAATTTCTGATTAAATTTGGTTATTTTTTTAAATGCTGGGCCAATTAAATCCATTTCTAAATACAAAAAATTGTGTTTTAATACAAGAGGTTTTGATATATGTAATTATAAAAATCGGTGCTACATACTGGTTTTTTTAATTCTTAATTGCTCGTTAAAAGCTTGACTGGGGAAATCTCCCTCTATACTCAATAATTTAGTTGAGACTATATTAAAATAGAAATCCCCAATAGGTGAATTAGCTTCAACATAGAATTCAATTTGAAAAAGACCTAGTGTTTCATTCCATACTGATGGGAACTGAATTTTTTTTTCGATAACCTGACTTGATAGAAGTGGATATCCAGCGTTTAATGGTTCCAAAGCAAAGATGAAATTTTTAGGAAAATCTCTTTCCATTTTTAGATACATAACATTGTAGTGTCTGAAATCAGTTACATCGATATCATTATATAAAAATGATACACTTTGAATTGCTGAGAAATAATCTATTTATTTAAATTAAAAAATCAATACCATACAATATTTATCATTTGTTTGTGTATACTTACATTGAGGTGTAAAAAAAGGGTTTGAAAATAAATCTCCTGTACCTGAAAGAATGTACCCATAAAATAAAGTATATAAACATTCAATTTTATCTATGAATTTAATAGTATATACTAAATAAGCTGGGGTAACCACTTCATAGACTCCTCTGAAAATATTTCCGTTTACCAGTTTCTCGATGGCATTGAATTTTCCTATTGTATTTGAGTTTTTATCAAAAATTTGTATAAAATTTAACCCATAAACTGATGTGATGTTCATACGATATATATAGTATTCATTGACCAAATGAATATATTCTATACTATTAATAGTTGGAAATAGGTTGTTACATTTTGTAGACTCTATTAAATTTTGATTAAGATGTTAAACCTTTTGTTGTTTTTTTAATAGTGTATTAATAAATATTTACCTTTATTTGGATAAGTAAATTCAAGAGGTTGTGTATAATCTGTATAAAAAAGACTGGTTTTTTGGTTGTCTGTTGAGGCCATTATTGAAAGAAGTGAGTCAACTCTAAAACTAAAACTATTTGGCCCACCTCCAACGAATCCATATGGCCACCTGGTGGTAGTAGATATACCATTTACCGTAACACCAATTTTGTAAAACCCGTAATAACTTGTCGAATTATAAAACCCATAACAAACCATTGGTATATCATTTGGGTAACTCTCACTTGTTTTTGTATCTGGAATTGTAACCACACCTATATTATAAGTTGAAATAAAGTTTAATGAACAAATGTTAATAAATGTTAACATAAAATATTTAAAAATAATTTTTAAAACCACAAAAATAATTACTATTTTCTAAACCAATTTGGATATTTTCGGTTGTTCGAAGGCCTCCATTGGATAAATATCTTAGTTGATAGTCATTTGTGGCAAATAGTGGATAATAATATGTAGTACTTTTTTCATCACCATATACTGGAAAATATCTTTCGGCCGTAGTAGTTGTTATTATTTTGTAGGGTGTTTTGTAAATAGTTGAGTTTGATGTAAATGAAAGTATTGCACCTTGCTTATGCCCCATAAATTTAAAATTTTGTAAATACTGTTTTTCTGGAAAAGTTGTACTATTTAATATGTTATCATAAATTCCTATTAAAAATTATAAAAACTAAATTAAAAAACAGTTGGTGATATTTCAAAAGTATAGTTATTTTTTAGTTACCGTTAGTCCAATCTAGCTCTAAAACTTTTGTTTGGTTACACAATTGAAGATTTAATATTATTTTTGGAAAAAAACTTAAATCAAATTTTGATTGTGTACTAAACATATACAAATTCGACCCATCAATATTATTGAAAGAAACGGTCGAGCTAGCCGGGATAGCGAAACCTAATGGTTTATAAATAGATGAATCATAAAAATAACCTGAACCAGTAACCTCTAATATAGTAAATATAGTGAATAATGAGGATAAAATATTATTTGGAAAAAAATTAAAGGGTCTGATTGGTTTTACATTAATAGTATTAATATCCAACCCTAAAAAGAAAAAAAATTTAGTTATTTTATATTTTATATTTTTTATGAGAAAAAAAAAAAAAAAAAAAAAACTAATTATAAAAAATATCTTACATAAACACTCTATGAAACCATTGTACACTGAATTTACGCTAAAAGAAAAGTTTCCTATTTTTGAACTTCCATACAGGCCAAACATTACCATAGAGGAGTTCTGCCATTGTATATTGACATTTACAGTTATATCAGTTGGTTTTGTAATAGATAAATTATCACATGATTCTCCTTGTGATGTATTTGGGATACACCATACAGACCAACTAAAAGAGCAAGTGTTACTGCCCGCCGCTAAATATCTACTATATACTTTGGTATTGGGAGCATTTACCACAACATAGCCATTGACTCTATTAAAATTATTATTACTTGAAATAAAAATAATTAAAAATAAAACAATAAAATATTTAAAAAAAACCATAATACTAAACTATTATTATTATTATTATAAAAATGTAATTTTAAAAATGATTATAAAATAAAAAATTAAAAATAAAAACAAAAAAAAAGGAAAAAAAAAAAATAAAAATAAAAAATATATATATAAAAAAAAAGTGACCTGAGGATAATTTTAGATATTTTGGATATTGTATTGATTTTTTATTTTTTTTTTTTGTCCTGGAAACGGCACCCGCTTTTTAAAAAAAATTTTTTTGTTTGTGAGCAATGGCCACATTCATTCAAATTACGAAAATTCACACTGGCTGGCATCACACATCATTTATGGTAATAAAAAAAAAAGTTATAATTCATTATTTATTTTGTTATTAGTAGAAACTTTTTATTTATAATAAAAATTTTTTTAGTTAAATATTAATTTTTTGAAATTTAAAATAAAAAAAAATAAATAAAAAAAAATAAAAAAAAATTTTTATTTTTTTTTATTTTTTAAATATTTTTTAATTTTTTTTACAATTTTGATGAGATGGTATTGGTGGTCACCACCCAGAAAAAAATATTAAATTTTTTCATTAAATTAATATTTTGATAGCATTAATAACTGTAATAATATTATTGAATATAATTTATTAGTATTTTATTTGTAATAATAAAAATAAATATAAAGTTTTAAAACTTTTTTTTTTTTTTTTTTTTTCTAAAGCAGGTGTGTATGAAATTTAATACAATATCTTTAATAAAATAATTTGTGTAGATTTTAATAATAATAATTTTTTATATTTAATATTTATGCACTATAGAAACAAGTGGGTTAATTTTTAAAACTATATTATTTACAATTATAAAAAATAGAAAAAGATGAAATTTCAAAAGCATTTAAAGAGTGTCACAATTTGGAATCATCATTATTTACCATACCAAAAGCTAAAGAGAAAAATTAGAAATTATTTTTCCCCACCAGTTTCACCTGTTGACAATAGAGTATCATTACAACAACAACAACAACAACAACAACAACAACTGCAGCCAGGAAATGATGTTTCAAAAGACTTTTTAGAAATTTTAGAAAATGAAATTAAAAAAGTTAACCAATTTATATTGGAAGAAAGATTACCACATGTCTTAAATAGATTTGAAGATTTAAAGCAAAAATACAAGTCTATTGATTTTTCGTCCCCATTTTCAGTTTATTTAAGTGTAGGATTACCAACACAACAGCAATTAGAAGAAGAAGGTTCCGGTAGTGGAAATTCAACACCATTAGACCAATCATCGTCATCATTATATTTCCCAAGCGAACAATTACAACAACATGGTTCAAATGAAGTAGATACAATTACAGCTTTTCAAATTGCATTTGAAGATATCTTAAAGCAATTGGCTGAAATCGATCAATTCTCACAATTAAACATCCAAGCTATTCAAAAACTATTGAACACCTATTCAAAGAAAAAAGTAAAATCCACAATTTACGAACAAAAGAGAAGAAAAGCAGGTCAATCTGAATTAACTGGTTTGCAAAAATTAGATATAAACAATACAAATAATAATGAACTAGAGCAAAAAGAAAACCATCAGAAGCAAAAGCTTTTAGAATCTAGTGAAATCGATTCTATTAAACAACAAGTCGACAAATTCTTTAATGATAAAGTAACTGAACTTGAATTATATAACCGTGTTCAACTTAAAAAATTAACATTAGAAATCGAATTGGAGTACCAAACCATTTGCCAAACAAATGTTAGATTATTAAACAACTCATACTATGATTTATTATCAGTAAGTTTTTTAAAAAAAAAAATAATATCCTACACTTGGTTTTCATTATTTTGACATATTTTTTTTTTTTTTCATTTGATATAGATAAAAGAAAAAGAATTATCAAACAAAGTTGTATTATTTTGCAAAAATGTTATAAGTAATAATACTAGCTTTATAAAGAACATCATCGAAGAGATTAAAGGTCTAATGAAAGAACTAAAGATTGATGATAGTCAAATTATGTGGACTGAAACCATACATTCATGTATACATAAATCATGCTATTTGGGAAATGTTGATATGGTCAAGTTGTTGTTCAGTTCATTTAAATCATTGGTAAACGTTGACTATTGCGATGAAAAAAATAAACAATTTATACACATTGCTTCAGAAAATGGTAAAACAAAAGTAGTCGATTTCCTTTTAGACAATGGCGCAAATATCGAATGTGGTGATTTCTTATCCCGTAGACCATTACATCTATCCTCAAAAAATGGTCACTATGAATGCACAGAACTCTTACTAAAAAGAAATGCAAATGTCAATGTTTTAGATAGAGAAGGATGTACACCATTGTATTTGGCATGCCGTAGATACCCACAAAAAGAAGAGCAAGGAAACTTGGTTATAGATGCTAGTTCAGGCAATGCGGGTACAGAGAAATCAATTGTCGATTTATTATTATTAAATGGTACACCTTTAACTAGAGGTCCATACGGTAGACACATTTTGCATGAAGCTTCAAGTAAAGGCAATGTTAGCAATATTAAATCAATTGTAAAAGTGGATCCAGAGTCTATTAATTTAACCGATTTGTTTGGTAGAACCCCAATTTTCGAATCTGTTAAGCATGGTAATCTTAGCTCCATAATTACCTTGTTAGAGAACAAAGCAAATATAGTTCAAGTTTTCGATGATGACAAAAGAACATTACTTCATGAAGCTGCAGCTAATGGCCAACTAGATTCTATGGAGTTGCTTTTTGATCATATTACAAGAACTCTTAATGTTGGTAAAGAGGAATTATATAAAATTTCGAATCAACAAGATGATGATGGTTGGGCTCCACTTCACGATGCTTGTTATTTAAATTATATTCAATGTGTCAAATGTTTATTAGAGCATAGATCCAATCCAAATCTTTTAGATAAAGGTGAGTGGTCACCAATTGTTCACTCATTGTATAGAGGTAATATTCAAGCAGCTATCACTATCATGGAATTTTTCAAGAAAAACCCAGATCTCTTACATGAATCATCAAATTTATTATCCCCACCACTTAGAGATTCAAACAAGTCAATTATGAACCAATCATTACCACCAAAAATCATTGATTTAAGTGATTTAAATAAATCAATAAACTCGTTAAACTCAAGCACAGGTACAACCCCCAAATTACCATTATCACCAGGAAAATCAGATTCTCTATCCTCGTCAAATACAACTGTATCAGATTCATCAACCTCGACAACACCAACACCAACACCAACACCAACTAGCAACATGGCAGCAAATAAAAAAATATTAAAGTCATTATTATCTACTGTTTGCTTTAGAGTGTTAGCCACAAATATTAAACCAGGTCATAGATTAGGTATTGTTGGTAATAGAAAGGCTATTGGGTCATGGAATCCATCTTCTGCCATCTTTTTTAAAGAAGAAACACAATCAGCTGAATCAAGTGTTTGGGTTGGTAGAGTTCAAGTTCCAGTAAATGTTCAATTAGAGTATAAATATGTTATTTTTGAAGGTACACGTTTAGATTCATGGGAGGCATTACCAGAGAATAGAAAGTTTACACCACAAGAAGAGGATGAATTTGTGGATGATGGTGTTTTTGGCCAATTACCAAATGAAGATGTAGACTCACAAGCAAAACAATCTATTTTTATGGAGCGTGGTTGGTTGGTACAAGATACTCAGCTTAGAGTTAGATTTGGTGAAACTAGTTCAACGGATCCACAACGTAAAATTATTCAACCAGTTATATTATATAATGGTAAAGAGCAAGCAGGTAAAATTATTGTATCACTTAGAGACCGTTTCTCAAATATTCAAAAGGGAACAACTACATCAACAGTTAATTTACCATTAACAAAAGATCAATCAGTTTTATTCCAAACAAATCAATTGAAGACAGATTCATATCACACAATTCAATTTGATATTTATAGACGTGGTATGTCGACAGTGCTAATTGGTCGTGCTATTATCCTTGTATCAGAATTAACAAGCACCCACCCATATAAAAAAGTTGTACCCATTATAAACTCCTCATTACTTTCAGTTGGTGAGCTTTATTTCTTCCCATTAATTATCTCGCCCTTTACCCATCCTAAAGTTTCCGATGTTTTATCTAAAACATATTGGAAGAGTACATTATTAATTGGTCATCGTGGTGGTGGGGCTGAAAATGCAAGAAGTGTAGGCAAATATAAGAGAACTCATATCAAAGAGAATACAATTCTATCATTTGTTACAGCTGCCTCTCTTGGTGCTCAGTATATCGAATTTGATGTTCAACTCTCGCGTGATGGTGTACCAGTTATCTATCATGACTTTGAAATCTTGGGTAAAGATAATATTAAAATCCCAATCAACAAAATTAATTTACAACAATTTAAAAAGCTTCAGCTAAAGAAAAACAAAACTAAAAATGGTCATAATGATGAAGACGAAGAAGATGATTCCAGCAACAACAATCATCATGAAGATGGCAAGTACGATTTAACTAATGATGATCCACTCCACCATAATAGCGATAAGAGATTAAAATTCCCATCATTAAAAAATTTACGTGGAAGATCAAAATCTATGCAGGATATATTTAATGATTTTGGTGCAATTTCATCACAATCAGCATCAAGCATTATTACAAATTTAAAATCAAGTGCCATTAATATAAATGCAAGTTTTAATAAAAATAGTAATAATAGTAATAATAATAACAACAATAGTAATAATAATGGTAAATCAGAACCAATCAACGATTCAATGACAACACTAGAAGAAACATTTAAAAATGTACCAATTCAAACTGGTTTCAATATTGAAATTAAATATCCAAACCAAGAAAAAGAACAGGAAATTCAAATGAATAATTTAAATAGAAATACATATGTTGATATTATATTAAAAGTAGTTTTCGAACATGCAGGTGATAGAAGTGTAATGTTTTCATCATTCGACCCAGACATTTGTTTATTATGTTCATTGAAACAACCAAAATACCCAGTCTTCTTTTTAAACAATGCAGGCTTTACCCAACACTCTGACCCACGTGCAAATTCAATATCTGAAGCTATTCGTTTCTCAAAATCAGCTCATCTTTTAGGTATTGTTACAAATTCGAAAATTCTTTGTGAAGCTCCACCAGTAATTGGTCAGGTTAAATCTGCAGGTTTAATGTTGTGTAGTTGGGGTTCTGAAAATAATGATCCTGCTTTAGTCGACCTTCAAGAATCTTTAGGTTGTGATGCCGTTATCGTTGATCATGTAGCATATGTTTCAAAACATTATAACAAACCAACCAATAATGAAAATGAAAAATAGTTTAAACAATTTAATAATAACAAATAAATATTTAATTATATAATATATTAAAAAATTAAAAAATTGTTTATTTACTTTTTTTATATACTGATAATAAAGGTAACAAAGATTTCTGTTGTAAAAGCCAATCAAATTTGAAATAACAAAAAAAAAAAAACCACTAAATTTTGAAATAACAAATGTGGGCAAATTTGAACCGTTTTTACAATAATAAAAAATTATTTAATTATATTTTGGAAACATCAAAAATTAATAGCCCCCATTTTAAATTTATAAAGAATATAAATTAAAACATATAGTGAAATTAAATTATTTTTGAAATCCAAAAAATAAAACCGTTTAAACTCATAAATTTTTGCCCCATGGTGGTTCTAAAAAAAGAATAGGGAAGTGTGAGTACAAAGTGTAAATTCACCTATACCTAATATATTTTTAATTTTTTTAGGGGAGTTGGTAAATTACAAAAATAAAGAGGTTATAATTATATTTTTTTTTAATTAAAAGGTTATAATAAACATTAAAAAAGGGTTTAAATCAAATATCACCTAAATCTGTTTTTATTTCCCTTTAGATGTTGGTAGTTTCTTTGGGTCTGAATCGATAAGTATGCTAATTTTTTATCTTTTTTATCTATTTCTGTTCATTATTGATTTTAGTTATAATTAAATGTTTGAATTACTAATGTTTAATAATTATGAAATAACATTGATTTTAAAAAGAGGAGGATGGTAAAATTTAGCATTTTAAAAAAATTATTTATGTCCATTTAGAAATAATTTTAAAAATACTATTATTGTGTTTATTATATTGAAATTATTTTGAATTCAATGTTTAAGTATTTAAAATTTATAGATATATAATCGTTTAGATCTATAAATTGAAAAAAAAATTAATTATAAATTATAATTTTATTTCTCGGCTTTAATTATTTTTTTAAGTTTAAAAACTAAAACTTTAGTTTTGGTACTTTTTTTATAAAAAAGATAAAAAGCACCTGCCAAAATGAAAATAGTGGCTACACCGATACAGCTTACAAGAGTTGCAATCAGAGCAGTATTGCTTTTGGAATTGTCACAGTTTGATTTAAAATTGGAATTTATCAATGCTGAAAAGTCAGGGTCGATATAACATGATGTCCTACAATGAGGAATGTTAATACCAATGGTTACTGATTCGTTTTGATTCGATACTAATGATGTGGTGATTAATGTTGTGTGCCCATCTGATATTGCTCTATTTATAAATCTACCATATAGGATCTTGCTATCTTTATTGATCGATATATAGTTTAATGTTTGATTGTCTAATATTGATGTTGATGTTGATGCTGATTTGCTGTTACAGTCGTTGGATGTTGAATCTGATACATTTGATATCATTTGTAATTGCAATGTATTGAGTGGACTTTGATAGTTGTAGTTGTGAATTGAAATTGAAACTTTAATTGAACCTTTATCTAATTTGAAATCTATACCTGCGAATGAATATTGAATATCATTTTCTATTTCTAGAATGGATAAAACGATTTGGCATTCAGTTTCGTCTAATATTTGGGTGAATGTTACATTTGATCCTTTTTTATCATTTGATGCTATATTCCAATGGTTTTGAAGTGGATATTGTTTAACTGTATCACTGTTGATATCGAGTTCTAATAATGATGTGATTAATATATTGTATGTTGTTTGATCGTTTTTAATTGTTGTTGAACCGTCAGAATTAACTGTACTATTGGTATTACCATTGTTTTTATTATTTGAGGGTGAACTACAATCGAATCCAACCCATCCTGATTTACAATCGCAAATCCCATTTGATGTATTACAAATACCATGGTTAGTATCGGTACAGTTGTTTAAACATATTTTTTGTTTTGGTTGGTATATATAAAAGTTGTATGATTTCCATGTGATTCCATTTTGATATACAGTAACATCTTTTTTACCAGTACTTGCTCCAATGTTGCATGTGATTGTATTTGATGATATAGTATCTATTTTGCATTCTTGATCACCGATTTTTACATTAAAATCTTGATGAATGTCTCCGAACCATCCATTCATTGTAGCTAAACCACCCTCTTCGTATGTTGGTATGATTGATGATACATAATGTAATGGAGTAAAACAGTTTTCACCAGTCCAGTCTTTGGGGCATTCACAAATACCAGTATTATAGTTGCATATATTACCATTATATGATTCACAGTTGTCTAGACATGATGTATAGTTGTTGAATACTTCGTTACCATCGTTGTTATCTAAATTTAAATTGAATTTTGTTTGTAATTGATCTACTTTGATTGTACCTGATACATTATTCAGTTGATTTGGATATGTTGTTAAAGTACATGTAATTTGATAGAATGTTGAATCAGTTACATCACAAGATCTACCACCAATTATTATTGTTATTTCAGTGATATTGTATGAATAATATAAACCTTTGAATTCTAAAATGTGATTATTTGATGTTATATTTGATAAAAATGGAGGATATGGATCTGGAGTTAATGTAAATTTTTGACCAGTACTCCTGAAACTTATATCGTGAATAACTCTATTCGGAGTATAGGAACCATGTGCAATAATTATTGAATTAGATTTTAGAATATAATTAAAATCTATATTTGATACAATATCATGGTCTAAATATCCAATATTTTGACCCATTAATGATAATACTGGTTCTGTTACTATTTTGTTTTGTTTCCAAAATGTTTGGTTTAAATATTTTAATTTTGGAATAGTTTCTATTTTAAAAATATTTATAAAAAGAAATATATTAATATTAATAATAATTTTATTATATATTATTTTATATACATACTGCATGTTCCTATTGTATCGAAGTTATCGAATAAATTGTGTTCAAAATTTAATTTAAAATAATCATCGCTAAAATGGCATGTAAAACAATCTGGAATTTTCCCTGTCATTGAATTATTTCTTATAAATAATTCCACAGAGCAATAGGATTCATCAATAGTTCCAGTTATTGAATTGGAGCTTAAGTCTAAGAATGTTATATTGTTTTTTGAACCATCCCATTTTGGTAAATCACCACTAATTTGGTTAAACTCAAATGATGAAGAACTAATATCTGTATTATCAAATATTTTATAGTTTGGAGGTTTTTTTAATGGCCCTGACAAATATGAACTGAAAATTAATTATTATAAGTGTTTATTCTTTATAAAAGAAATTAAAATAAAATCAATAATACATACAATACTCTAAGATTATTTGGAAGTTTTGAGAATGGAAGTTCCCCATTAATATGGAAATTCTGAGTGTTGGTAAATACTCTATTAATTATCAAAGATAAAATTAGTATTTTTATAATAAACTTTCCTAAGTATTAATAATAAAATTAACTTACAAACTTTTAAAGATAGAAGAGATTCCAGTAAATTCAATAAATGCATTTGGTGTTGGAACGTCATATGCTATATGGCTTTAATGGGTGCAAGAAATATTAATTAATTAATAGTTATTATTAAAAACTATAATAATTAGTTTATATACTTACATAGTAGAAAACATAACTTCACTATTTGGATCATTTGAACCTAACAATATCGATAGCGGAACCAGTGGATAAGATACACCCGGGAAGCTTGATAAAAATAAATTATTTATATTATTATGTGTTGATAAATTTTTGAAAGAATTGAAATCGAAATCACTTGTTAAATAATAAGAAAATATCCCATTCGAAACAACATTTGCCATTGACGGGATATTTCTTGTTACAAAATGGACATTATTACAAACAAAAGGGTCACTTAAAGTGTTTTTTAAATCATTATTAACATATAACCCATAATTCTCATTGTTCGATAATGTTGAATCTCGATAAACCATAAAAGTATCTTTTAAGGGTGTAGTAAATAGAGACAGAGCCAAAGGTTCTTCAATTTTTTTTCCTAAAGTTGTCCTGAAACTCTTTGAATTGATTGGGTATTTGAAACTTATTGATGGAGTTGAAATCATTTCTCTGTATATTGTTAATATTATTAATATTTTTTTTTTTTTTGTTTTATTTAATTTAATTTAATTTAATTTATAATTACAAATATTCTAAAGACTCTGTCGAAAAATCAAAAAAGTTTTCAGAAATATCCCATTTATTGGTTGTCATCTTTTTGAGATTAGATCCAATACAATCTACATCGGTATTCTGTATAACTTCATTTGTTAACTGAGGACGTGTGGAAAAATCCATTTCAATTATATTTAAATCTCCATTGCATCTAAAATCAGGTATATTTTGACAATAATTTTGTAGAGGGCTGTAACCTAGCTTTATTAATAAATTATCAAAACATGTGCCTTTATAAAGAATAAAATATTAGTATTTTTATAATAATAATTATTATTATCAGATTATTTACTTTCTGATTGTGAATACTGAAGTGAAACATTAATAAATAATTTTATGAAAAATATAATTATTAGTTTTGACATATTGAATCTATTTTACGAAATAAAAAAAATTATTTATAAATAAATTTTTTTTTTTTTTTTTTTTTGATATTTAACGAAATTTGTTAAATAAAAATATGAAATAAATGGGATGTTTTGATGAAAAATAAGCGCAGATAAAAAAAAAAATTCAATTTTAAGTTTTTTTAAATAAAATTTTACCAACTTTTCGAAATTTTAAGAAAATTTTTTTTAAATTTTAAATTTTTTTTTCAATAATAATAAACCTATTTAAATACATTATTTAACCATTTTAATATTAAAATTATAAAAAGTAAATATCTTAACACTTATCATTTTTTTTATTTTATTTTTGTTTATCAAAAACGAACAAAATTTAAGATATCTTTTTTTCAAACTTTTAAAAAACTAAATAAATAAATAAAGAAAAAAAATTAATTAATTTTTTTAATGATTTATTTTTTTCGAATCCTTTATTATTTTATTCTAACATTGAATTGTTTTATATTTTAAATTATTATTTATTTCTTTTTTTTAATATCTCTTTTTTATAAAAATAAAATATTTTGAGGTATTTGGATTTCGATATATAGAAAAAGAGAAACTTCCTAAAAACCTTTGGGAATAACTACTTTCGCAGGTTAATTTAATTGTTTTCTACTATCATACCCCAATCATTAAGGATTTCACCTTTTATTTTACCATTGATGTTTAAAATATTTTTGAAATTGGTGTAAAAACGGTCATACAGTTGGGATACTTTAACTGTGAACGGGAAGATGTTGTTGGAAGAGTATCCTGAATCAGCGTAATCATTATATCGGATATCTACAAACTGGGTGAATACCTTTATGTTCTCCATGAGTTTAATTATCGCATTCTGTGTGGAGGAGATTTATAAAAATTATTTATAATCTCAGAATTGATGTAATGAAAAATGTCAAGAGACATTGGATCTGGTTCTAATTTGATTTACTAAACATTCGAATTGATAAAATTTCTGTTTCTTATGAAAATTGATTATCTATTATATTTAAATCGGTGCTTTAAAGTTGTATTTTTTTTATTGAAAAATTGAATTTTCTGTATTATTCCCTAACCATATTGCCGTGACGATTTTCTTGAACCCTCTCGGGCATCTGCATTACTCAGAGTTGGTTGTGTATCATTTTTTAAAAATCAATATAGAGATTAAAATATAAACCCTCTGGAAGATGATCTTAATAACTAAAACCAAAATAGAAAAAGTTTCCCAAAACATTGCATTATCCCCACCTTTTCTAACACTTGTTTTAGTATTTGAATCTAGTAAAACTTAAGAGCCAAAGACCAATGATCTTATATCATGGTATTTATAACCTGACCTCATCCATAAACATATGATTCGTGACTATATCTTCTATTATTTCCATAACCAGCTCTACCTTGCCAATTGATTATAGGTTTGATGGTACATGTATTACCTTTTTCCAGTCGGCTACTGTTGGATATAAGCATAGGTTTAAGTACTCTTGTGACAGAATTTCTACCCCTAATTCTTTTAATTTGTTTGTTGTTGATGTTAATAGTTCTTGTTCCCAAATAGAGTAGATCGAATTTCTTTCTACCCCTATTTTCTGCAGTTTTTTATTATCATTATTATTTATTTTTGGGATGTGTCAATAATGATAATTAAAATTGCCAAACAAATCAATATATCACATATTTAATAACATCAGGGTGTCTAAATATACCATGGGCACTGTATTTTCTCTTATTTGAACTTTTCTTAAACCCAGTACTACTATTCCACCTTTTTTACTGATGGTACTATCATTTTCATTGTTTATTATACCCATTCTTTTTTATTATTGTTGTAATTCTTTATTCCATAATATTTTGAATCTGATTTCTTTTTAGGTTGTTTTCGGTAAATGTAATGTGAAATTGACATACCCACTTTCATTCTCTCATTTTATAAAAGTTTACACCTACTGCACTATAGTTGCTTTGTTTTCTAATATGTTAAGGAAGTGTTTGTATTTGATATTGTCTTTTATTTTATTACCAGTTGTGACAAGTGTTTTTATTTTAAACTTTTTAGTGGATTGAGATTTTTTTATTAATTGCTAACCACGAATTTTTGACCAACCCTTTCAATAAGAATGGTGCAAAGGTTAACACGACTTTTATTAATTTATTTTTAAAAAAATTTTAGTAATTTGATTTTGATTATTTAATTTTTGTTATTTAATTATTGTTGATTAATTTTTTTTTGGTAATTTTTGTTATTTAATTTTAGTGAATCGAGATTACCTTTGACCAAATCTATTTTTGTAATAAAGTGCACTATGCACAAATAAGGCGTGAGGTGACCAACTTAGCAAAAGGGAAATTTCTTAATTTATACTATTAATTTGAACTCCTACTTTATATGTTCAAACCTTATGGGGGTCATATACTACATTTACCTCACCCTTTTAAAGATAACTATCTAACTAATTTTTGGAATGGGTCAGGGAACCCTTCAACCTGCACCCTCCAGGGATCGAACCGAAGCTGTCGCCAAAATGTAATAAAGTGCACTATGCACAAATAAGGCGTGAGGTGACCAACTTAGCAAAAGGGAAATTTCTTAATTTATACTATTAATTTGAACTCCTACTTTATATGTTCAAACCTTATGGGGGTCATATACTACATTTTTTCAACAATGTTCGGATGGTGTAGTTGGTTATCACGAATCCTTAACACGGATTAGGTCGTGGGTTCGATTCCCGCTCTGAATATTTTTTCGCATTGATTTTTAAAATCTCCTAGAAGATATAACGAATTTGTTTGGATTTAGTTGGTTTATTGCTAGAATTATTTCTTCTTTTGTAAAGTCAGAGTCTAAAATGTCCCATTTAGAATCTTTAGATATTTTCCAATTTTTGAGCATGTTTTGGTGGGTAATTGGGTCGTCGATACGTCTGGAGTATAGATTTTCATAAGTGGATAAAAATTCTTTTTCGATATCGTTTTGCGCTTATTAATTTTTATAATTAATAAAGAAAACAAATATGTAATATTTTATAATAAAAAAAAAAATCGTATATTTTACATATTGAGAGAAAAAAAAAAAGGTTTATCAAATAATAATAATGACAATGAAATTACAAAAAAAAAAAAAAATTCAAAAAATAATTTGTATTTTTTGAATTTTTTTTTTTAAATTTTATTTTTTTTTTTGAATTTTTTTTTTTTATTATTTTATTTTACTTTTGTAAATTTAAATTTAATATTATATATATTTAAAATGCAAGGAATCTTAAACAAGTTAGCTCCACTTGCTTTAACAGGTGGTGCCATTATTTCATTAGGTCAAAGTGCTATTTTCAATGGTAACTATTATTTTAAAAAAGATACGATTTTGGTTATTTTACAATGATGTTCATACATGGTGATAATCATACGTTATATAATAACCCTTTATTTAAAACTAACATGATTTCAAATATATATTATAGTTGATGGTGGAGAAAGAGCTGTAATTTTTGATAGAATTAGTGGTGTTAAAAAAGAATCAGTTGGTGAAGGTACACATTTTATAATCCCATGGTTACAAAAACCACATATTATGAGCACTAGAACTACACCAAGAACAATTAAATCAGATACTGGTAGCAAAGATCTTCAAACTATCAGTGTTTCATTAAGAGTTTTATTCAGACCAGATATTGAACATCTTTCAACTATTTTCAGTAAATTAGGTTTAGATTATGATGAAAGAATTTTACCATCACTCGGTAATGAAGTTTTAAAATCAGTTGTTGTAAGAATCACAAAAGAAAAAGAAAAAGAAAAAGAAATGAAAAAAAAAAAAAAAACAGCACATAATTATTAGAATATTGGAATTAATTTAGTTTTTATTTTAATTATATAGGCTCAATATGATGCAAGTGAATTAATCACTCAAAGAGAAGCAGTTTCAAAAGAAATTCGTGATGCTTTAACAAAGAGATCAAAAGAATTCCATTTAGTTTTAGATGATGTATCAATCACCCATTTAAGTTTTTCACAAGATTTTACCAATGCTATCGAACATAAACAAGTTGCTCAACAAGAAGCTGAAAGATCCAAATATGTTGTAATGAAAAATGAACAAGAAAAGAAAGCCTCCATTATTAGAGCTGAAGGTGAAGCTGAAGCTGCTAAATTAATCAGTATAGCCATGGCTAGTGGTCCAGGTTTCATTGAACTTAGAAGACTTGAAGCCGCTAAAGAAATTGCCGAAAATTTATCAAAATCAAAATTAGTTACCTATGTACCAGGTAGTGGTGGTAATGGTAATAACCTTTTATTAAATATAAATAATAAAAACTAAATCCTATAAATAAATAAAATTTAAATATAAAATAAAAAAACCAAATCAAGATATATTTTTTATTCTTGGGATAAAAGCAAACCATCATGGTGGGGGTATGACTCTATAGTTTTTTTAAAGTCATTATACTCCATACCTACTTTTATTAACTTGGGAACTGCAGTGGTGAGAGGGTGTGGGGTGTGTCAAAAATTATTTTTTTATTTTTAAACAATAATTAGATTTTTATAAACCCCCCAAACTAAATCATTTTTTAGTATAAAAGGGGGAATAAAAAAAAAAAAATTATTCAATTCAAAAACAATCAAAACAATTTATAGAATTATTTATAAAACTATTAATCTTTTATTCTTAACAAAAAATGAAATTATTATCAATAATTTTAGGTTTATTACTTATTATTGCATTTGTTTCTGCTCAAGATTCTACTGAAGAAACTTTTGCTGCACGTCCAACTTATCCATGTGGATCTCACTCTTGTGATTATGGCCATGTATGTCGTACTCATGGTAATGAATGCGGTTGTGTTCCACATAACAATTGTGAAGTTACTCTTAAATTCAAATTCATTGGTTCATGGGTAGATGGTTCATGTGGTAAAACTTACACTCAATATGATGTTATCATTCAAAATGGATTAAATAGAAACATTAAAGATATTTATATTGGTTCTGACTACACTTTAAGACTACGTGACCACAACTCAATTTGGAATATTGTTCGTTTACCAAATGGTGTTTTAACTCTTCCATCATACCAACAATCAATCAATGCTGGTGCATCATACACATTTGGCTTCATTATTGAAGGTACCCAACGTCCAAATCTTCGTATCTTGGCTGTCACCTTCTTCTAAAAATCAAATAATTGTTGATTTTGTTTTTACTTTTTTTTGTAAAAAAAAGGTTATAAAAAAAAAAAATAAAAAAAAATAATAAAAATATGCATATTTGGTGATCAATTATCTCTTTTTTTTTTTTTTATTTTTTTTTATTTTTTTTCATTTTTTTTTTTTAATTTTTTTTCATTTTTTTTAAAAATTTTTTTTAAAATTTTTTTTTTTTAAAATTTTTTTTTTTTTTTTTTTTTGTTGTAATACATTGATCAATAAATTATTTTTTTATATATAATGTCAGGAAGAAGTATTTTCGGTCTCTTTGGCGAAGGTTTGAAATCATTCGGTTCATCATTACATAAAACCGGTTGCAAAATGCAAGGTGACTATGGTTATGTTGAAAAATGTATGTATTTATTAAATTTTATTTATTTTTCAAAATTCGTGTGGTAAAATTTCACTGGTAATGATCTTCAGTGGGAAACCAATCAAAACAACAACTAACTCATTAAATTAAATTTTAAATGAAAACAATAGTAAACAGACACACTAGAATCACTCCATTCAACGATACCCTCCCAACTCTTGGTAAAAACTCATTCATTGCACCAAATGCTTCAGTTATTGGTGATGTTATTGTTGGTGACAATTCAGGTATTTGGTATAATACCGTTTTAAGAGGTAAGATACCAAAACTATATTTAATAGAAAATTATTTATTTGAAAAAAATAAAACAGAATCAGTTATTCAATTTTAAAAATCAATAAAAGAAATTTCGAAAAAAATAAATAAAACAAAAAAAAAAAAACCTTTAGAATAGCAGCAAATAATAACAATAACAACAACAATAACAACAATAATTAAAATAATAATATCAAAATATTATATTGATGATTTATCTTAATCAAAACAAAATATTATACAGTCAATAACAATAAACGAAAATCAACTATAAAGAAAACAGGATTAATTAATTAATATTAAGATATAGCCATCTAATTAATATATTTTTTTTTCGTTATTTTTTATTTTATAGGTGATGTTAACTCAATTCATATTGGTAATAACTCATTTATTGGTGATCGTTGTGTTGTTCACTGTGCCTCAGATGGTCCAGTTGGCGCACAAGCCACCCAAATTGGTGATAAAGTTTATGTTGGTCCAGGTTCAATTATTCACGCCGCTACCATTCAAGATGAAGCATATATTGGCACTGGTTCAATCGTTCTCGATGGTTCAGTCATCCAAAAGAACGGCTTTTTAGAATCAGGTTCACTTTTAACTGGTAAAACTGTTAAAACTGGTGAAGTTTGGGGTGGAAGTCCAGCCAAATTCATTCGTGCTGCCACCAAAGAAGATGAAGCTAGACTCGAAAAAATTATCTCTGATAACCTCAATCTTTCAGAACAACACGAAAAACAAACTTCAAAATCTGCTAAACAATTAAATGATGAACTTTTAATCAAATATACTGAAAATAGAACTAAAAATGAAAATGTTTTAAATACTCAAAGTCAAATTTAAAATTTTTTATAAATAATAATAATAATAATAATAATAATAATAATAATATGGCAATAATTAAAAAATAAATAATCCAAATATATAATAGTAATTTTAACAATACAAAACAACAAACACAAACACAAACAAACACAAACCCAACACAAAAAAAAAATTTAAATCATAATATAAATTATAATGATAAAACAATTGTAATTTAATTATAATAAAAAAAAAAATTTAAAATTTAAAATTAAACAGTGATGCACTTAAAATCTCCATTATTATTGATTGTGTAATTTTACTTTTTTTATTTTTTTTTTTAAATTTTTTTTTTCTGAATAAACAGGCATTATTATGTTGTCTATAGACATTTTATAGAATTCTTTTTTCTTTTTTTATTTCCCTTTATAATTTTATTTTTTTAATTTTATTTTTTTATTCATTTATTTATATTTTTTTTTTTTTTTATTTTTTTTTTTTTTATTAAAAATTTTAAAAAATAAATTGTTTAATGCAGTATAGAATAATAACAAATATTATTGATAAAATAAAATGATATTTTTAGATTTAAATAACTATTCACCACTATTTATAGTTTCTTTTAGTGTAATATCATTTTTTTTTAATTTAATAATTATTTGGAGATTAATTTTTAATGTTAGGTATAATCAAAACTACCCCTGCCCTTTACAACAATTTTTTCAAATTATAATATCTTTATATCTATGTTGTAATAATCAAACCCATTAAATAGAATTTTCACCAAATTTGATATTAATTTTTTATTAAAAAGCTTTAGGAATTTCATTTTTATATTTATTAAATTTTAATATTAATATTAGTAATAAAATTGAAAATAATATTAATAATCAAACTCAAATTATAAATATTTTATTAGTTTTAATAGATATAACCTCATCATTAATCTTTTTAGGATCTATAATACTTATACTGCATGGTTTGGTAAGTTCAAAAATATTTTCTTTAATTTCATATTAAACCTAATATTTTATATATGTATATTAGATATCAATTTATATGGATCTAATAAAAATCAGAAATATTGATGGTGGTATTTTTCAACAGAAAAAAAGAATGATTTTACTATCATTATCAATTATAGTGGTTTCAAATGTTATTATAGATATTATATATTTAAGAGGTTTATTTTTCCTCAATAAAACAAACAATGGCCATACTCTCATTTTACCCAATATTGTATCAATAATTTTAGCAATTTTCTTTGTAATTAAAGTTTTTTTTTTAAATGATGAATATATTGCAAACCCAAGAATGGTATGTAGAAATATTTTTATTTATTTTTTATTCATTTATTTTATTTTACAATTTATAAATTTTCAAATCTAGGGGTTACAACAAAAACATCACCACTCCCTAATTTTAAATAATATATTTTTAAAAACATGCACTAATTATTATTATTTTTTAGGTTTTGTTATTTATTAGATTTATAGTTATTACAGAATCAATTTTAGCAATTAGTTTATTTAATATTTTAAATAATTATTTAAAACTTTTTACTATACAAGAAATTAAAGTAACAATAATATTAATATTATTATTTCAAGTGTCTTTTGTTGTAAATTTCGACTATGGTTTTATAGAAAATTCAAAACTAATAGCAAAATTAAGAAACTTTTATGTTAAAATAAAAAACCAATAAATGTAAAATAATAACAATAAATCTTTTTTTTTTTTTTTTTTTTTTATATTTTTTTTTATATTTTTTTTTATTTGATTTTCTTTTTCCTTTTTTTTTTTTTTCTTTATTTTTAAATAAACAAAACTAATCGAATTTAATTTAAAAATCTTCAAATAATGTATCAACTTCTGATGGTTCGATAAAAGCGACTTTTTGTCTTTCTGCGGCTTGACTTTTTTGATATTTTCTTTTAATGTATTTGTTGGCTTTAGCTAACTTTTGATCACTACGATTATTACCTGGAGAAACAAAGTTTGGATTTGAATAAAGTACATTTCCACCAAAACCTTCAGAGAAAATTTTATCGACATTTAAAATCATTCTTGGACCAATTTCGGTTAAAAGTGATTCTTTTTTGAATTCTTGATCTGAAATTTGATAGTTTCTGAACCAAATACGACCATCTTGATAGAAGAAACTGAAAACGTGATCGAAAAATGGTTTGCTTTTAAGGTGACCTTTTGGTGTGCTATAAATTTGGGTGAAAAGTTCTTTGATTAATTGAAGGTGTGGTTGTGAGTCAAAAGTTTTATCGAAATGAAGGAATGGACGACTGCCTTTTAAGCAATTACCAGTCATTTGTAATTCATCGAGTGTGTGAACGTTGGTGACGTGGAATTTAACAGTTGGGCCTAATGGAGTTTTGGCCATCCAAAGGAAACAATCTGTACCTCTTCTAACATCAAATAATATAGCGTAGTTGCATGATTTCATTTCGCATGTTTCGTTGATTAATGATAATGTCTTTCTGTCATCAACTTTATCTTCTTTTTTGCTGTGTGGAATTAATGAAATTAAGTCAGTCATTAAATGACGATATTTAGATCCAATACCACGAGTTGATGTAAATAAAACTCTTTTCTTTGTAAAAATTGATTGTTCTTCTTTTTTATTTGAATTTAATGGATTTTCTTGTGGTTGTTCTGTTTGTTCTGTTTGTTGTGGTTGTTCATTATTTTCTTCTACAACCTCAACTGGTTTAGTTTTTTTAATTGGTTTTGTCATTTTTAATAAATATATATATATAAAAATTATTTATATAGAGATAATATAAATTTAAAAATAAAAAATAGGAATAATAAAAAAAAAAAAAAAATAAAAAAATGAAAAATAAAAAAATTTAAAAAAATATAAATTTTTTTCGTTTTTTTTTAAAAAAAACGATTGTTTATTTTTTTATTTAAAATTTTTTTTTTCTATTAACTTTTTAAATTAAACTTGAATTTAAATTAAATATAAGTTTATATGTATTAATATTGTATGGATATCAAACTTTCACTGTAATAGTATTTAAATTTAATTGTTTAATTCTTTTTTTATAATTTTAATTTTTTTTTTTTTTTTTTTTTTAAATTTTTTTTTTTTTTTTTTTTTTTTTAATTTTTCAAAATTTTTTTCAATGATCATTTTTTTTTTTTTTTGATAATTTAATTAATTTTTGTATATATAAATAAAAAAAAGATGTCAGTATGTAGTTCTTTAAAAAATAACAATTCAAATTATAAAATCTAAAAAAAAAATATTAAAAAAAAAAAAAAAAAAGAAATTAATTTTGAAATTAATTTTTAATTTTTACATTAATTTAACAAAATCATAAAATAATTATAGGGTATGAAAAAATTTATTCCATTATTAGATCGTATTTTAATCGAAAGAGCTTCAAATCAAG